GCCGGGCGCGGGGCGGCGCAGAGAGGCTGTACCTGGCAGGCACCACGTACCTATCATGGTCACGGGGCAGGTGGCGGCGGCTGGGCGACTGGGGCCTCTGCGCGCACCGGCGCCCGACCGCGCCTCCAGCCAGAGGCGCTCCGGGGTTAAATCCACCCCGCCCGCGAGCCGGGTCGCCGAGGGCGCAGCGGACTCGGCGCGCGCCCCGCGGCCTTCTGGGAGTCGTAGTTTTATCGCGTAGTTTCTCCGCCCGCCGCCCTTCCGGCTGACAACCCAGGAAACGTACGTCACGGGGGGGCGGGGCCATTCGGACGCAGTGTTGACGCGTCGCTTAGCAACCAGGAAGCTTACTTTGGAAGCTTGTTGCAGCTCTCGCTGAGGTCCTGCCCTCTTCCCGCCCCTCCCTTCCCTCAACTCCCTTCACCTAGGAGCTGCCAAACATCTGGATGGACCTGGGCGCCAGGAGGGGTTGAATTTCTACCACTAACGCGGTTTTTTGTTACATTTTTTTCCCGACCTTCTTTTCACATCCGTAAAACCCACTGACTCTTTTATTACACGTTTTATGAGAACAAGACAATTTCTAGGAAGATGGTGGCAGAAAAAGAGACCCTGAGCTTAAGCAAATGCCCAGACAAGATGCCGAAGAGGACCAAGCTGCTGGCACAACAGTCGCTCCCGGTACACCAGCCTCACTCCCTGGTCTCTGAGGGCTTCACAGTCAAAGCCATGATGAAAAACTCAGTCGTAAGTGATCTCCCTGAACGAATGCACTCGCTCCGCTCGAGGCAGGGGCGCCAGGTGACAGAGGTCAGCTGCCTCAGGATGGATTCTGAGTCCATGTCCTGCGTGGTATTTGCCAAAATTCAGATGGTGGCCAACGCCGCGAGGTCAGACTAGACAGTTAGGAGGACCTTGGGCAAGTGATGAAGGATGGCCACACATGCACCCGCCTCCTGAGTCAAATTACTCTTAAGCTATTTACGTAAAGGCTTTAAAAACCCTTTAGATATCCATTCTTAAAAGAACCCCATGCAGCAAAGGGCCTGTAGAGAGTGAGTTCTTCGAAATCATAAACTCTCACACAATTTGATATGTGCTACTGTAGAGAGGGGCACATAACTCCAGTAAGTATTCCACAATGAGAATTCTAATTTAACCTAGGAAATGTCAGATCCTAGCATTTACAGTAAAGACTCTCTATTACAAAGTGAGGTCAGCCTGTAAGAGTTGAACAAGGCAACTTAATCTGAAGTGTATTTCCAGATAAATCTTTTAAATTATGGATTTCAAAGAATCCAAGTTTCAGTTCCAGTGTAGCTGCCTAGTAATACAATTTGTATTTCAGTTCTGTTATGGTAGTAAAAGTAAAATATTCCCAATACAATTTGGAAGGGAAGGGGTTTAAAATGCACACAAATGATTTAGCCACATGCATGATTTTAAAAAATTAAACAGCTTTAAATTTGTATTCTAAATCAGATTTTGCAATTGAGTAAGCACCTGCCTGGGAATGAGAGATTAAATAATAAATGTGGTTTTCAAATTTGCATAACTTAACACTCTGGGAGGATCTGACTTATTGTATAGCAACTCATTATGTTAAATGAATAATGTTACTTTCCAGTGTCACATTATTTGCTTACATAAATGTTGCAAAACTAATACCTTATTCCTAAACCACATCCTTAAAATGCAAGCATGAAACAGATTATCTCGCTGCACTAGCCATATGTCTACACATAAGGATCTTCTGGTCACTGGAGTGTGTGACAGTTGATTTAAAGTCATTAAAATTCCTGGAAGTCCTACTTATTATAGCCACAGTCTTATCGGGTGTACTTCACATGAGGAAGTGGTCTTGGGAGTCAGCATGACTCGTTCATCAGCAGTACAGAATGCTATATATTTGCACTCTAGGATGAATAATACTTCCAAGCCAACTGTTTTTCTTCTACACAAAGGCTATGACTATGATTACAAACTTGAGTTTTTTTCAATGTTATTTTTCATTACAAATGTAAAATATTGGTTATCTCTCTTTTCTCTAAGCCTATATTCATAAACATATTTATATTTCAACACAGCTTTATACTTTGTTATTGATTGTTCTTTAAAATCAAAGATTTTGGTAATGTCAAATATATTAACTATGCTTACAAGACTCAAAGCATAGCAATGATGATGAAGCAAGCTTCTTTATGAGCAATGTATTTGAAAAATTATATTCTCATTTTTATATTTTTAAGGAAAATCTCAGTATAATATCTGCTTCTTTACTAAGATCTTAAAAATAAGCCATTATTTCACTTAATTTAATGGAAATCATAACTCTTAGATGCTAACATTATTCATTCACCCATCTAATCATCCAACCAACAACTGTTTTCTTTCTTTCTTAAGCTATGGTAAGAACTTACTAAGCACAGTTCGGAGGACTTGGCCTCATCAAAACACTCCTGTTCCTTGATATGATAAGGAAAAGACAATACTGTCTTATAAATTAACTTCAGAGGCATAGGCATTAAAACCCATGTTTACACTTCACCATTTCTGTCTTTAACTGTGTAAAACCTCTTGTTAAAAAGTCAAAATATCTCTACCTCTCTCAAGATTTATTTCTATTCAGAAAATAATATATCAGTCTCAAAGGTTAGATAATAACGCCCCGTTCCACAAACTCACAAATCATCTTCCTAGTGTTTGGATTCCAATTCAGTTCCTTCTTTCAAATACTTCCATGACAAGTAAGTCAGCATTCTGGGGCTCTCGCGAAGGGCATGAGCATGGGCCCTGGAGACACAGGCTGCCTCCCTGCCAGCTTGAAATTCACTGTTACGTAGTTACCATGTTTGCCTTCAAAGAACTAGAGGGTTGCACTTTCTTTTTCCCTTTGAAGATACTGTCTGTGGTATAGTAGAGATGAGAACCAGCTAAATTAGGGAGCAGGCCCAAGATTCTGATGATAGAGAAACTGACTTCAACTAAAGCTTTGTAGCACAGCTGAATGGAGAGGGAAGTCGTCCTGTGCTCACATGACGTCATGACACAGAAGCCTTCACACTTACAAACATGCATTCACTCAACACAGAGTCGTAATGCTCAATATCTGTAAATGAAATGTTAAGAGACTGACGTGGCTGCTCTGGCTGAGACCAAGTGGTAACAGACATTAAGAGGGAAGCTCGTTCTCTCACGTAAGACCAGGCCCCTCGGCACCCGAGGGTGGGCACTGCTTCCGGAGGCAGCTCCGAGCCCTGGAAGCTGTGTGTGTTTGCTCCTCGTCCCGTAGCGTGAGGCCGGAGGCTTGGTGGACTCCCTGCCGGGGGTCCAGTCCTCCCGGCGGGGGTCCAGTCCTCCCGGCGGGCAGGGGGAGAGAAGCAGAGCCTCCCGGGACAGGGCCCAGGGCCGTCTTCGTGGGCCGGCACTCCTAAGCCTTCCCTTTTCGTCCCTGCCATCTCTGTTGGTGGCATCCGGCTGGTCTCTGGTACCCAGCTACCCGTCAGGCCGCTCTTACGGCTCCAAGCGCCGGGTGCTCTGGGGCTCCCGTCCTCCCGGTGGCCTCTGTTGTTCCAGTGGGTGGCAACGAGATCTCACTGTGGGCTTCATGTTTCATTTTTGTGACCAATAGAGTTAAAAGTTGTTTCAAGTGTCTATTGAGCATTTGGTGTCCTCTTTTATGAGGTGACTTTTCTTTTCTTTTTATTTAAAGATTTATTTATTTGTGCACACGGAACTGGGGGACAGGCCAGAGACTCAGGGGCGACGGGAGGCTTCACCAGAGACAGAGCGGGGAGCAGGACAGGCAGATGGACGAAGTGCACTGCTGAGGGGAGCAGTGCCGAGACAGGGGAGGTCTGCTGTGACTTTGGGGGTACCTGGGGGGGGGATGGAACTCACACTGAAGCAGCTGCAGCAGCGCTGTGTCCTAACCTGTTGTGCCACCAGGGAGGGCCCTGGTGGCGACTTTTCAAGGCTTTTTACCTGTTTGTCTGTCTTGATTTTATTTACTTTCAGTCCTTTTTATTTTATTTTCTATAAGACACTTGGAAATACATGTATCACAAGTACAGTTTCCTACTCTGTGGGTCTCTTTCCATTCTCTTACTGGGGACTTTCATCCCTCTCTTATTAAAATTTAAAATATATACATTGGCCCCCCCTGATGGTGCAGCAGGTTAAAGCACAGCACTAATCAGCTTAAGCCTTCAGCATGAGTTCGATCCCCACCCTGAGGTGACCCACATGGTGTGGCAGACCTCTCCTGACCCCGCCAGCTGGACCCCGCCGGCTGCTCCCCTCAGCAGTGTACTTCCTCCATCTGCCTGGTGAAGCCTCTCACCGCCCCTGCACCTCTGGCCTGTACCCCAGTTCTGTATGCATAAAATAAATAAATCTTAATATATATACACACACATATATATAATATTATATATATAAGATGTATATTATATATAATGTATATGCATTGTATGTATATATATATAGGGGAGAAAACAATTATGTCACATTTTATTGATGCAATCATTTATAACGTGTTTCTTGGCCAATTTAATTGTCTAGTCATGAAATGCATATACATTACAACAAGGCTTTGAAATTAAATTGATCAGAACCAAAATAGAATGGACAATAGTAAACAATGAAATAAAAGGTAATTAAAGTTAAAAGCCTGAGCTAAAGAAAAGAGAATCAATCTTGCCATTCATAAGGGTCAGTATATATATTGATTGATGTTCATATTTAATTCTGAGCTTCTTGGCTTCTGTTGCCAAAAGTAGAACATTGCACAGTTCTCATTAGCACAGAAGTAGCCTACCCACCTCCACAGACTGAATTCCTACAGGGGGTTCCAGCTTTCTCTGTGCCACTCTCTCAGAGAAATTAGTCATGTAGCATTTTAAATATGTGCAATATAACCAGATCTACATTTTTACTTCTTACCAAGAAAAAGTAGCAAATTTCATCTATAAACGACTTCACGGAGAGCCAAGTAGTGGATAGCAAAATGGTTCCTGAGGAATTGGATTCTGCATGGGTTTGAACTGATGAGGGACACGCTGCCGGCTTGTGGTGGCCCAGCATTCCCAGGGCCGGCTTACCTCGGCCAGATTTCAGTTCCTTGCAGGAATGGGGTGGCTGTTGTTCTTATCAGGGTGGGGGAGGGTGTGTGAGGCGGTGAGGCGGGTAGAGGCTGGACCTGCCAGGGCTTCCAGGAGGGGATGATGTTTGGTGAGCAAAGAGACAAGGAGACAAAAAGGAAACGCGGCAGTGGGCGAGGCTCTGGGAGATGACAGCACAGGCATCCTGCTCATTCTGCTTGCAATCTGTATTTTCTACTTATTATTTTTTGCCAAAAATAATTGTCATGATTATACCGATTAAATACATGTGTAAAAGTCGTCAAATAGTCAACATTTTTTTATGCAAAGTATATACGTACTTATGACTAGCATTTGTGTATATAGGCACCTATGTTCATACACCTTGCATATTTATTTTGTATCGTGTATGATTATAATCTGAGTGAAACTTCGTGAGTTTGTTCTAACATGCTAATAATGTATATATCATTGCAAGCTTCTCATAGGCACTTAAAATTTTCAAAAAATTCTGTCCTCTGAGTATACCATCACTTATTTAATCATTCATCCAGGTTGCTTTGGGGATTTTGGCTATTAAATGTGTGTGTTTGTGTGTGTGTGTGTGTGTGTGTATTTAATTTTTGTGACTAATATGGTTAAAAA